CATTAGGTGCCTTACACTTGAACGGTAAACACATTAAAATTTTATTCGTCAAAACAACACTCCTAGGGGTCTTTCGTTCACCTACTCTCAGGTCCAGTTATTCAACTTCTATACTTCTCATTGGCGGTTTCTGGAGTATATCTACTGTGGCCTCTGGAGGAGGGAGAGAGATCGGCAAAATGAGGCCTCAAGTGAATCCCATGCAACTCCATCAATCTGGCGATAAATATCGTCATTGCATATGAACGGATCATTTAAGCTTCAATGAAGTAACATTTTGAGTAACTTTTCAGGAACCGGCAACAAGCTGTGCACTAGTTGAGGAAATTCGTACATGTATTCCACGGTTTCCAGCAATGGAACGCTGGTGAGTAGTGACTGATCATCGAATGACATCAACCTATTTGAATCAATTAGTTGCCTTCAGTAATTTGAAAAGCGCAGGAAGAAGACGAAACTGGCAAATGCGCGCATTTCGTATTGTCTCATCAGTGCCTTTAACAATAACTCGCAACAATATTTATTCAGTAAAGGGTCGGCTGTCTTCCCCCACAGCTCATTAGCATAAGCTGCTAGCTAGTAGGCGTTAGCCTCTAGCAGACATGGGTTCGAGCTCCAGTGGGGGATCGATAGATGAGCATCCCTGAAGAGCCCCAAGAGGGGGAGACGCGCGTCTGGTGCTTACATATGCGGCTTGGAAGCTAACTGCGATGAATCAACGTGAATATTTTATTTGTCCAGTTTTCCTCTGGTTGCATGCAACCGCGACCTTTCGATAGCGCTCTTCTATAGAGCTGCACGAATCCGCAATAATGAGGCACGACTGAGACAGATAATTTGGGCAAGACCATGCACAGACCAACGAGTACGTGGTAGTCAATTCAGATAAAATGTATTTACGCAATAAAACTCGTGCCTCTACAACTAACGAATGATAAGTAAATTTAATTAATCCTTTGTTCAAAACTGATAATTTGTAAAAGCTCGGATCCCGTTTAACGCGGACCTGCAAGACTGCTAAGCTGCGGCTCCTTCGTACTCTTCCCGAAAACCAGCAGAAAAGCCCGCATGACATTTCGGCCTCAAACATAACCTACTACATTATTTACATTTGTGGTCGCACTTATAAATGCGGGATTGTTCGTCCATCTCAAAGGTTAGCAGATCTGCTACCAAAATGTTTGAGGCAGTGGTTATTGCAACAAGGTGGAGCGGATCGAAAGAGTAGGAGAAACACTGCGATATAAAAACAAAGCAATCTTGGACGACTAAAACTTTGGTGAAACGATCAAATGCTTTAAACCATTGCTTTGGACCACGGGAGCGCTAACATGTTGAAAAATTAGATGGAGTACTAAGAATGACGCATATTTTGCTTAGTGTACTCGGAAATAACTGTGGTAATGGATTAAGTTCCCATTGTGATGATTGCTTTTCATGCCCAAAATTCAGTTTTAATAAAACGGGTTACTGATTTTTTAAACCAGATACCTACGCAGGTTAAATGATTCGAATATTTTGCGATCGATGAGAAAGATCGAAATGTAATCAAATGGCAATCGGATTCATCACTAAATTTCGGCAATTTTTGGTAATTCTGCTAAATATATAGTAACGAGACATCATACGAATGGTTTGGACGCTACCGAATATTAGTGGCAGCGTTTTATCATTTCTCCTTGATTTGTATATAGATTGATAACAAAAAATGAACTTGCTAGGCATAAACACGCCAAGCGCTTTTCGCACCCTACATAATCTCATTGAAAACCACACCGTATTCTCCATCTACGCAATGAACTTAAGACAGTTATGCGAAACTGCGTCTTTTCGCAACAGGTGAGTTCCAAACCCGAACAGAACAAAGAAATTTGCGTCGCACTTTAGACTGCGGACATATTCACCCGCTATCTCGTTCAAACTTGTCCAGCCGGCTCAGTGGCATGAGTTCCGACACGACTTGGAGCTTCGAAGATGAATGGGACTCAAGCGCCACCCTACCAGCCGAGGATTCGGCTGCGGTCGGTAAGCGTCCTCATCTTCTTCCAAGAACACTTTCTATTCCTCAGTAAACTTAACATTTTACCTCCTTCATATGCCGGTCGCCCCGAGTGAACGTGAGTTCATGCATGGAAACATGTGAACGCTCTATGTGTCTAATATAAACACTTCATGGCCCATCAGTAAATGCACGTGAAGCAAGTACTTCTTTTCTATTTTTGAGCTTCTGTCAATCAGATAATAAGATTGAGAACCAAGTAGCTCGCTGATGCGTATCCTCGCCCATATGATCCGCATGCTCCCTGTGTATTGCAAATACTTTGCCACTTTACTACTATTTCCTTATATGCGGTATATCACACCTCACAATTGTGACACCTAGAATCAGTGAATTCACAGCTGAACTGCAAACTATCCATTTTTCCACATTATCTTGATTGCACAACGTTCCATTTATTTCTGGTAGCCCATGCGCGTAGTATAATCTTCCGGGAACTTTGATTTTACGCACCTCATATTATATCATTGTACATGCATCACCTTTTTGCTTTGAATCCTTATAACCCCCGATGCATCTACGCTCTGGACTTCTCGCTTGTTGCCAGTTATTAAGCCCCCATTTCACTATATATTCATTCAAGAATAGCCACTGTCACTTTGGTAAATTTTGTTCCGGTCAGTGGTTTTGAGCGCACATTCTAATTCGCAAATCAGCATAGGTACTATGCGATCATTGTTAGACAACGTATCCTGAAGTAACATGATTGGCTGTTGATTGTCAATGCGACTTTTTATTAGAATCAATGAACACTAATGCTTGTCTTACCGCTGGTATTTTAGTTGACGGTTCTCACCCATGGCACGATTAGGGATATCGCTGACACCGCGACAACAATTAGAAGCAGCCCAACTTATTTCTGTTTCCTTCAGGTGACCGTTTCTTTGCTCCAGTCGTACGTGATAACTCGCTCTCCACCGTACCCATGTGTGAAAGCACTGATTATCACCAGATCTCCGAGGAGGATCTTGTCCATTATCTAAATGCGAGGCTACCACCTGTAGACAACGTAGCCCCGTTCATCCCGTTGTACGCCAGCTCTCCGCGTCCAATACTGGATGAAGTCAGTTGAACACCTTTTAAACCTTTTTAACTGTTAATTTGTCGCTCTTTATGACCCCTGCTTGTTTCCAGGTTGACAGTATTTAGCTTCAATGGCGTTGAAGTTTAATCTTTCGTACGTTAGCAATGAAACCCACGGACGTTAGATGGATGGGACATGATGCGTTTTGTATCTCTTTATTTTTCCACTTTCTATTTAATCCATATGATAGACAATACTGTATGTTTGAGTGTTGGTCGGGTTCCCATGGTGTCACTCTGGTGTTTTGAGATGTGTGGATGACAGATTTCCTTATTCTTTAACCATGATTATCGGGGAGTGGATGGGTGCGTGTGCGAGTATGAAGCGTTCCAGAGTAATTTCTACAACACAGTTGTTGTGCAGGCGGCACAACTGTTGCTCCGTTCGCGCTACTTCTCACGCGCAAATGTTCCCCGCAGTCTAAGCACCAGTTAGAAAACCAGCTGCGGATACTGCGTTCATATCGCATCTAGTTGGCTAGGCTTGCATCCGCCTCTTCTAGCGTATGATCATGATTCCAAACCGATGGGGAATGATTGCGACCTGTCCAACTGTAACCATTACGCACGCAGCTGTCATAACGGGGAATTTCTGATACCCCAGCCAACTTTTGTTAAGCTAGTAAGTCTAGGATTTTGTTTCGAAAAACGAACGGAAAATGCTCCTTTCATAAGCATCAGAGAAAAATGAATAATGAATTAATACGGGTTAAGAAGCGTTGTTTTATAAGTCGCGTTGGATTTTTGGTGAGGAGATCGATTTATTAATAATCATATACTAATATTAATAATAATACTGGTATAACAATTACTAATTTAAATACGGTTATCAGCAACTAAATTCACGTTTTTTGATAAATTCCACCCACCGACCAAATTTTCCAAACTGGATATCTGTCAAAATAGTGATATAATGTTTCAGTAGCTATCCTAACAAAATCAAATTTAACGTGACTTATGCAAACTCTCCCAATTTGCGCATAGTGATTATCCTCGCTTTCACAATGCATGCTGTTTGGATTGCTTTGTGCAATACTTGTAATACTGCTTCACCATCTTAGGTAATCTGGGATGATTCGGCTCTGTGTTCACGCGTAATTCCAATTTTCTCACGGTCAATTCAAACCGGGCTACTGTCTAGGGCAAATGAAGTTAATTTCTCAGTCAAGCGGACAGCAGTATGTTTTTTATATCTGTCATATTAATTCGATGGGTATTTAGAAATCACATGCGTTCTCCGCAGGTGTTGTGAATCAAACCCACCTTGAAAAAAAATTCGCATTGTCTACGTCTATACACGGACAGAGACAAGACTCTTGCTAATAAGTGCATAGAACAACTCAGCTTGACTTCCCACTCATAGGGGTGGATAATGTCTAATTTGACGGCTTTACTTCATTGTGATATTACAGTTGGCAGTTTGACGTTTGATTAGAATTATCTGTGACTGCACATAGACCGTATTTGCAAATGGACACTTAACATTCAATGGGTATTGCATAATGAAGATTCAATTTATACGGGTTAAGAAGCATTGCTTTGCCAGCCCGGTTTGGTGGTCATCTGGTTTAGCGAAACATCTTAATAAAACAAGCGGTTAGTACTTATACTGTCATGGTTATGGATTTAGTAGCCCTGCACCCCCAGAATTGCCATTGCTTCAACGGAAGAAAGACGTAAATCCTGGCATTTTCCGGGAGTGGTGTGGAGATTATTTGCAATTGACAAACTTTACTCGGCTGAGTGCGTCATCAATCGACATTTGAAGTTGGCTAGTGCGGTTTTTGATACAACCGCATCGGGGTAAGTATTTCATGGTTGTCACACAAGAATGGAAAAGAAACTTATACGCCATGCCAGGCGGTTGTATTATGCTGCACATTTCAAGGATTGGCCTCTAATTTAGGCGTTACTGCTGAGTGGTAGTAAAGAGCGGAGCACATGAAGGTGATTCTGTACAAGTCAATACCTTATAAACGAATCGTCACGTATTCGGCGATAACGCCGACTGAATATTCCTAAGGGATTCAGTTTCTGATCCTATGGAAAGTGGCGCATTCCAAAAACGTATTTAGAAGCCCTACGCTGACGTTGCTCTAGTGCAGTATGGTTGTGTTTCGGCCATGCTTGCCAGGCCTGAATTGTGTATTCGACAAGGGGACGAACATGCGCATTCATCATCGGTCTGAAAATAGTGCTGTCTTGTTGTCCGAACGCCCGTCGTAACAAGCCCACTTGCCGCTTACTTTTATCTAGGCCTTTACGGTTTGCTTAGAACAACCCTAATTATCCTGAACAAGGACGTCGTGTTCGCGTTCGACGGTTGACGGCTGAAGTACTTGCAATACCAAATTTAGGAATTGGTACTCTGGTGTCGTATGGAGAGTGCCTTGCATTTCTCCAAGTTGAACTGCAAAAGATTTCGATTTAAGCAAGTTTGTATCTTTTCTAAGTCATACCGAATAAAATCCTGATCAGCCTCCGACCGCATCCGACGCCATTTCTTGCTCTCGTCAGCAAACAGCATGAACGTTGAAGCGATCTTTCATGCAAGATCATTGATGTATACCAAACACAACCGTGTACAGAGCGCTGCGTCCTGGGGCACACCAGACTCAACTGTTGTGGGTTCAGAAAGGGAACTCCAGCCTCCCACCAATAATTGCCGTGGGAGGCAAAAGTTAGCGATCCAGCTTGAAAGAGAGTCGCCGATCCTGAAATTTTGAAGCTGGAATGTTGAACCCGATAAGCTTAACCAGCCATCCGTTAAGGGGAAATACGAAGCCCTAGGGGGACCAGGAAATTACAAATGGAGCATTTATTGAAAGAGCTTTTAGAGTGGCCATGGGGAGACCCTTGTGGCAATGCTGTGAACGATAGGTTGCGATTACACCAACATAAAAATCAATCAAAATATTTCCTGGAGGTTTTTCTGCGCGAAACACACCGCTGGAATCTACCTCTAATTGAGTTGATTTAGCTGCACGCAGCTGGATGTTTACGATGATATGAAGGACTGACTAGGAAGATTTGATGTTGCGGATTTAGCGTGGGCCGGAAAAACGTGCGCAGATTTCGCCGGCCCTAACTCACATAGAGTTAGTCTGCCGAATGAAGGCCGATTACGGCGTTCCAGAATGGGAAGCGCCGTTCACAGATCAATCTTGGTCCGTTCATTTTTGGTGGTTGTCTCCACCATCTAGTGGACATCCAATAGCTAAGGAATTTTAAAAAATGAACTGTTTGTGATGTTCGCCTGCAGGAACATGGATTATTCTCTCTTAATAATGAGAACATATGGAATAAGCGGCAGACGAGTGGTTCCGTGCAGGGATCAGCTGCGTGCAACGGTAAGTTGGCGATGGACGCATTCACAGGCCACATTAGCTTGTTATTGTCACGAGCGAGATGATTGCAGGCAAGCACAACGTGCCTCCGGCGGTATTAGCTGTCAGCTAACATCGCGTTGAAGGTTGAAGTTCTTGGCTCTCAGCAGATATCAATGGTTATCTATGTGTCTTGCTGGTCAGAAAAACAGCCAGCTACCCAGTCAATTCGGCGAAGGCTAGCTAAAGTGTGCAAAATAAACTGAGGCGAGAATAGGCTCACGTGATGGTACCGCATCGCACGGTGACACGACCCAATATGCGGTACACAGGATATTACAAGACTGAAAATTCCGGAGATTCCGTGCACTTCAAGTACAGGGTAGAACATTTGCGATGAGGATAATTGGCATGAATTCTGCAGCTGGTGTCTGGATAACGGGCAATTTCGTTCTGTTCTTTATATGTGAAGCATTGTTTCATCTACATGTAACCATGAAATATTACTCTTGGGCTACCAGCAGCGCACGGAAAGTTACCGCATCACGTATGCACCACAGCATGAAACTGATGCCTTGGACTGGATTTGGAAAACAGAAAACCGTGGTTCCATATTTCTTTTCAGGGAATATGACCGGTAGTTTTTTGTTTTGAGTAAAAGATCCTTATCTTTACCCAGCATCGTCTACTTGGAAATGCTGCAGACATATGTGCTTTTTCATTTGGAGGACAAAGAGGCATGCATTTCCATTTGGTGGCAGCAGGGTGGCGCATCCGCATATTCTGCTTAAGCGGTGCCCGTTTACCTCACCGTCAAATTTGGTCACCATTGGATCGAACGCGGTGAAACAATGGATTGGCCTACTCGCTCGGCAGATTTGAAGCGCATGCATTTTTTCAGCGGGACTATGTGAATCGGCGAGTGTACCAAAAAACAAGGCGCGTACATTAGGCCAATTGAAAGAATATATTGTGAATGGATGTCGCCCGATCACGAGGGCTACATTGGAGAAAGTACTTGCCAACTGCATCAAGCCGTTTCGGCACTGAAAGCAAACCGTCGGCGGACATTGTGAACATATGCTTCACTCTCGTACTTCTTCGTTCCAACCCATTTCTGTTAATAAACTTCGCTTCACAAATGTGCTGATGAGTGACAAAGATGAAGTAACTAACTTTCACAACTAATTTAACGATTAAATTGGACAATGGTGCTAGTAGTTCTTCTGGTTGGATAACTTTGTGACATTCTAAGCTATCCTTGAGAACATAAACATTATAGGTATTGAAACGTTCGATGACTACTTATGGCGGAATCACTGGGATGCTATGAGCATTGGTTCGTAATGCCTAAGTAAAAACTAGACTGTGTTGTTAACTCAGTTTCCATCCATTACATCTGAGGTTGGTGTTAGTGATGAATTGCAGTGTGTGGCGGCATACGTGAGTGGGGTCGTTTAGTATTTGTTAGATTAATAGGAGGTCTCCACTTAGCAAGCTGTATCGTCTACAGAACACTCCGGGTGTCTTTAGTAGCTGCTGGTACGGAAGGTTGAGCCATCTGTTGACAACTGCATTGCTTTACCATGGGAATTTCGAGCGCCGCGTGGTCATGCTTTAGCCACGAGTGCCAAGCATGGATTGCGTATTCGAAGTGGAAACGCACATAGGCGTTGATCGTTATAGATAATAATGTCAATCCAAGCTTCCGAATGCCATCCGCAAGCAAACAACCTGCTATTTACCGATTTTTGAAACAGATTCCGACTGTATGGAATAACTCAGATCGTCCTATACCAGCAGAATCAGAAGGACTTCTCTGAAAGCATCCGGCAAATGGGATGGATAGGTAAATTACTGCTACGAGCAAGGCTTTAGGGTCAAGGTTATTCACTCCAGAAGAGTTATGTGAACGTAAGTATAGTAGTTTTTTAGAGCTATTTATGCCGTGAATATCATGCTGTATGACACTGATGGTGTGATGACAGAAGCAAGTATAATGTTCGAGGCTAATACCCATAGGGTAGTAGGACTGTACGAGACACGTGAGGCGTCAAATGCCTGTCTTGGTTTTGTGTATTTACTCATTTGCCAATTCAGTCCTTGACAAGTATGTAGGGCAGAGATGTAAATTAAGAGAAATTGATCGGAACGTTCATCTATCCCAGTGAACCAAATGTTCAAATTGTTCGCCGGCGTTTTGCTTGCATGCACAAACCGCTTGATGCAGTTGGCGAGTACTTTCTCCAATGTAGCCCTCGCCATCTCGCGACATTCATTCACAATATACTCTTTCAATTGGTCTAATGTACGCGACTTGTTTTGTAAACTCACCGCTTCACATAGCCCCATGGAAAAAATGCATGCGCTTCAAATCTGGTGAGTGAGCACGCCACTCCATTGTTCCCAGGCTTCCGAACCAATGGTGTGCAAATCTGTTGCTATACCCACATCATCTTAGTAAAATGTGCAGTTGCACCATTCTGCAGCCACCAAATTGTACTGCATGCCCCTTCGACCTCCAGCTGAGGAAGCACGAACCTCTGCAACATTTCCAATAGGACGATGCTAGGAACAGATGAAAATTTAGTACTTCAAAACAACTACCTACCGTTCACATTCGCGCTAGATAAACATGGTCCCAAGTTAAGCTTGCTTGGTACTCTCGTCCAACCAAAATTTGGACTGTGGCTCCTATGAGATGCAGTAATTTTTCGTAGGTTTCTGGTAAATTAAGAATACTTGTTCATTGTTCCATGAAACAGTGTCACGAATGTAAAGACGACAGAATGAATATTCCTGTGATCCAGAAACCAGCGGAAATTTCATGCCGCTTATCCGGACCGCAGGGTTTCAAATCCTGCAGTTGAATTGCACGGAATCTTTGAAGGTGGCGTTCCTGGAATTCTTGGTTTACCGCATATCGGCTCATGTTACAGTGCTGTTCGATCCGACAAATCCCGTGGTCGGGACATTTTGATACATTATTGACTACTACGCCGGCTTTTTAATGCAAGCTGGACCGGTGCTCTTCACATTAAACACCATCAGTTCGCTCGAACTTCCTCAATATTATATGCACGTGCCCGGCGGTAACGATGCGCGTTCCTGCGTTAATTGCATCGATATTTCTTGACTTTGCTGCAGCAGCTTTCGCCCTACATCCGAATAAGCATCGCGCACGCTGAGTAACAGGCAAGTTATGTGATCCCGACTGCAGTGTCTATTCTTGTTCCAATACCCGTGGCATTGAATCAATGATATTTACACGACTTGCTTCATCCTTCTTTCTGAATGGAAGCTGTATATTCTCCATCCGGCAGCTCCGACTACGCAACTAACAAGCCATTCGTCCTCAAGGTTTTGATGTTCATCCGCTGTGCACCAAATGAGATCTACTGTGGACGCTGTGCTTCAACTGTGTAAGGTACAGTGAACCTAAGATACTCTCGTCAGGACATTTCGGCACTTGCTTCACTAAACCTCACGGTCACTACATTGACTTTGGGACAAAACTACTATGTGACAACTGGTGTGTCGGTCAGTCCTTCTCGTTTAGTCTCATTGTGGTAAAGCTGCGTAATGCGCTTTCCGGCGGTAGTCTCAGCTCGCGTGTAAATCTGCCGGCTAGGCCAAGTAAGTCTACAACTTTCCGAATTTGATGGGTGGTGCAATCTCTGAAGCACGTTCGCTAATTCCAACTAAGATACAGCTAGGATGCGTTATTACGCATTGTTAACATGTAGTTTAGCTAAAGTTGACAAATGCGTGTAGATGACCACTTGTATGGTAAGTATTTATAACACCCAGTGTACATGACAATAGTTCTCCAAATGCATATAATAATAAAACGCACGCATTGGGCGCCATTTTGATAACAGCCGATATATGTTATTGATTCGATTTGGACGCTCCTACGCAGGTTTTTCGAAATATCTGGCATTTTCTTGCTGCTTTGTCTATCCTGTCCTTTCTTTTACATATTGGCAACGTTTGCCACAGCTTTTCTGCCATGCTTATGTGTTCGGAGATCATCGTATCTTCTGTGTACTATTGCCTTCATTCCATGTCCTCTGAGCCAAAGTTTCCTTCAGTAATTTTAGCTATTCACGGTATTTTCAAAGCCATCCTCACAAACCACCTTCTGCTTAACTCTAAGCTATTTCTACAATTGTTAATTGTTGCGTATTATTAGCGGGTGGTTATTCGCTGATTCTGCAAGGCTGCAACTTTTGCAGTTTCGAGTGAAGCTCCGGTGATTCCACATCGTTGGGATGTCATCATCATACTCATCATCAACAGCAGTAAAACAGCCATTTGAACTGATGCTTTCTTTCCATATAACCTTGCTGATGTACGGTATAAAGAATGATACGACGGAGAGAAGGGGGCTTACCTGAAAACCTTAATCCTCTAAGCAAACATTCAGGGCCAAGGCGTCTACAACTTGTGTTAACAACCTACCGTCACAAACAACTGACTATCAGGCGAAGACAAATCACGCCTTCATCTTGTTGATGTGTGGTCTTAGCTGCTTTACTAAACGCATAATAACCGCTTTTCATCCATTTGTGGCTTTAAATAAGAGATTTGCAGGAATAGATTTATTAGGCTGACGCTTTCAACTTAATTGATTATGGCTACGAGATGGTCCGGAACGGTATTTGAAGGTTTCCGTCGCTTATTTACTAGTGCTACTTTGTATGTTATCTTTGCTTACCTTAGCATCTACTCATTATGAAGATTCAAATACGCACCGCTGTAATTTCTTACGGATTTACCTCTTATTTCTATCTACTATTGCCTTGACTTCACGTTAGGCGAAGCATGTTAAAATTGAACAGCGAAAAAATGATATAATGTGGTTAGAAATGCTCGAGGCTTGAAAAGTCTGTGGGATGGGTTGTGCGAATAAGGTTTTCTCGAACAAAAGTTACACAAAATGGAGAAGCGCCATATTATCACCATATTATCCATGTTATCATAATATATATCTGTCCACCTCAATATTTTGGCGGTTGCCAAGCACAATGTTCCTCTACTTCTTGTCGTCATCAGTGACCAGTATTAGATCAAGTAATTCAGGCAGTGTATAGCATAATTTAGCCTTTTTTCAAATGTGTAGCAGGGGCGCATAAATATAACAAAGTTGTGAGAGCCTTTCAGTCTTAGCAAAAGCGAAAGGAAAAGTAATTCCGGTGACACCCCAGCGGAGTGTGGTCACTTTCAGCTTATGTCCTATCGATTCGCTGTTGCAGCAAATTTTCATGATTTTGCAGCAAGCTAGAACCGAGGTTTTGCAAGACCAAGTACATCAGGATGCGGTCAATTTGTAGATCTCCATATATTCCACTGTGCACTCCTAGGGCTTTCAGTTGCATATTTTATAGTAACTGGAACATTAGCTGCACCATTTTCGTTGCCCCTGGTCAGGCTGCCCGCAGTGTAGACAGATCATGTTTTAACCAAGTTTGCCATGTCTGCATCAGGTACTCCTCGTGGAGCCTTACACACGCATTGGGGATTTAAGTGTAGATGAAGTGATCGAACCAACCACTGTCCATCAGTAAGTGATTAAGTGATTGTGATTAAGTGATTGTTCGTGGTTTTGGATGCTTGTAATGAATGCGCCGAATACCGAGGTCGTTCTTCTCCACCCCCAAGTTCATTCACCTGTGAGGCGGCCTTGAACATATGGCCTCCATGCTCATTCGCGGAATTGGTCCTGCGGCGTTCGTGTGCAGTTTTACACTTGTCCGCCTTAAACGGAAGTGGATTTGACTTTTGATAATGGTAAATTTTTGCAGGTTTGTAACACGGATGCGCCATCTCTATCCTTCCTGAGGTAATCGTCATGCCTGGATTTGCCCAAATGCTTTATTATTTGCAGGATAACTTGGGTATTTAAATGTCACCTGACTCCGTTTCTCTCAGCTCCGACATTATACTTGCTACTCAGCTGTACTTAACTTGATCATCGTTTCAAAACTTTTGCAGTCTTTTGATAGACATAGCATTGTGGGTTTTGCTTTGCAGCCGTACCAACTGGAATATTTTCTTCTATAACTCATTCTCAACTACGATGCACCGTTTCAGGACCGAGTGAAAATTTATCGCACAAAGTTTTATCACGACACCTTGCATTAAACTTTATTGAGATCATTCTGTTTTTTTACGATACGCCGCCTAAACACGTACAAAATTTGCAGCACGTATGCGGTACGCTTTAGTGCATTTTAACCGCAAGTTCAAAGTAAACACGCGTGGAATTGTTCCTTTTTTCTGCAATTGATCTACTGGTGAACTTCATATCGTCCCATTTCTCGGGTTTTCTGTAGGTCGGGGAAAAAGCGCACCATGTTGAAGCTGAAGCACAGTGTTTATCTGCGCTTACAACGTCACCGCCGCCAACTTTATCTCTTCTAGGAGCAACAGATAGCTTCCTTGCCGATTACAATGCCACTGTCTTCCCCACACCACCGTGTCTTTCTTTCTATGGTTGAAATATACACAACCGTAATATCCGCATCAGATATCACTGTGTTTCAACATCCGTTGGGTGGTCTGGATCATTTGGCGAAAATGTTGGAAGAAAAACACTATTCTTTTTTATTGGATACATAGATTTGCTTACTTGCGATATAATATATTTTATTTCTTGTACTCTCATGTTAAGAATAGATGATGGACGGTAAATGTAAACCTTTTATGCCATGGTTGGATCTGAACTAGAACGCGTAACTTGCAGATGGAAAAATTGAGTCATTATCATCATCAGCATCATACAGGTTATCTAGAGGTGGGGAACACCTCAGCTACTGTGCCGCAAAAAATGAAAAAAGGAGAAAAAAAGCAACTGATGCAAGCAGGCTGAGCTACCGGTAACGAATGGGCATCGTTCTGGTAAGCTACCAGCCGGCTGCTGTGCACCCAAAAAGAAAAAAGTATTATGCAAGATTATATAAGGCTAAATAATGAGATCGTGGTTGGAGAGGGAGGCTAAGAAGGATGGGCTGGGACTAGGAAACTCACAGCACGAACGCCACTGAGGTCAGCTCCTTGCCATATCAGCAAGTGTGTCCAACCAAACGTGTACATCGTCCTTTGGACCACAACCAGGGAGTCGAGACTCTCCAATCTAGGCCAGCTCAGAAGTGAGGGCCTTCATTCCTCTGGTTCAAGTCATCGCTCGGCCACCCCTCCTCTTCTTCCATCCACACCCCCGGCGCGTAAACATACACGTCGCGGGAGTCGGTGGGCTGGCATGTGTAACACGTGGCCGAGCCATCGGAGCATGGTGCGTGAAATAACGGTGCTAAGCGGTTCATTTCTTTTTCCTGTGCCATAAACAAGGCGTCGAACACGCTCGTTGCTCACGCGGTTTTCCCAACAAATGTGAGCTAAATTACCAAGGCACCGATTGTCGAACGTAACTAGCCTCTTCAGGTCCGCTGCTTTAAGCCGCCAGGTTTCACAGCCGTACCGTAGGGTTGAACGTACTGCTGCATTGTACACTATACCCTTCATGGTGAGAGTGATGTCGCGCCGGCGCCATAAGTGGCGACGGTTAGCAAAAGCGCCCCGAGCTTTTCCTATACGATTCGTGATTTCATCTTCAATCTCACGGGCGCTGATACAACTTCCCAGGTAGTTGAATTTTTGAACGACTCCTAGCTGATCCCCACCAAGGGTCAGCGTAGGAGGCAGTCCAGACCAATCTTAGAGAAACGCTTTGCACTCCGAGGGTGCGAAGCAGCTAGTGCTGATCTGTCCAGTGCCGCTTGGCACGTTTGTGAGCTGTCACAGATCAGGGCAATATCATCAGCATACTCTAAATCAAGAAGTCGTTCTCCTGGGAGTAGCTTTACACCTTCTGAGTCGTGTCCTGTAAACGCGATTTCCATGACTTCGTCAACAGCGAAGTTGAAGAGAAAAGGTGACAGCGGGCATCCTTGTCTCACGCCGCTGGAGATATTAAAGGGCAACGACAACTTGCCGTAAGCCCTCACTCTGCCCGAGCTACGAGCATATAATGCTCGGATAATATTCACATATTTCTCAGGCACACCTTTCCTGAGTAGACAGTCCCAAAGTGCATGTCTATCCACCAAATCGAATGCACCTTTGATATCGAGGAACACGACAACGGTGGGCCGCTAATATATCTGACGGTGCTCCAACAACTGACGCAAGGTGAAGATGTGGTCAATGCAGCCACGAACTCGACGAAATCCAGCTTGCTCTTCACGAATCTGGCTTTCACGAATGCCAGTCGGTCTGTGAATGATGACAGAAGCAAGCAATTTAGACGCGATGGAGATCAGACTGATTCCTCTATGGCTGCCGCATTCGGACCGTGAGCCTCCCTTGAAAATTGGGACTATGATTGAGCGGCTCCAATCGGTTGGGACAGTCTCCTGCTCCAACAGTCTCACTAGTAACTCGTGTAAAGCATCCACAAGAGCAGGTCCCCCGAATTTGAAGAGGGCCGGAGGAAGGTCATCAGGGAGCGCGGCTTTGTTCAACTTCAACAGTCCGATCTCGCGTTTAACTTTTGAGCAAGAGGGTGGATCCAAATGAACAGCCCATGGAGCGGGGCGATCACTGGTCGGCGAGAAATCTAACCATTCCGACCGATTAAATTGCCGTTCAAAGTGCTCAGTCCAACGTTCCAGGCGTTTTGATAAGTTGTGAATAGGCTGTCCACTCTCGTCACGTATAGTTTCACTATCACCAAGTCTCCTGCTGCCCGTTTCCCGTATAAGACGGAATAACTCATGATGGTTACCAAGGGCAGCGGCCATTTCCATCTTTGTTGCACGACGAGACCACCAGGATTCGCGGTCTCTCTTCAGGCTAGCACGGAGTTTTGCCCGGAGCTCTTTGCGAGTTTCATTGTGTTCGCTTCCAGCCGGAATATGCCGGCGAGCAACTATATGTTCCAGAGACTTGAAGAGACCCAATGTTCATGTTGGCGATTAGACATACCACATGAGGATTTGCCTGCTACTAGTAAAGCCAGTTGCATATGAGACCAGTGAGCTTCAATTGCATCCATTGAGCGTTTATCCAACTCGGATGACAGCGTAATTTGATAGGTGTTCAGAACAGCTGGCTTCACCAGTCTACCGATGACAATGCGCTGACAACACCATCGCGGGCGTCCGCCAAAGCGCATCCGCAGGTCAACACATACAAGTGCATGATCGGTGTCCACACCTGTGCTCCAAATCAAGCGACAGTTCTGAACGCAGCCTCTCCATCGGTAACTTATCGCAATGTGATCGAGTTGTGTCCATAGCTGGTTCGAGGCTGGTGGACGCCAAGTCACCCTCCGGCGGGTGCTGTGTCGGAAATTAGTGCTCGCAAGAAATAAGCGAGCATCCTCACACAAATGAAGTAACCGCTCACCGTTATCATTACGGGAGCCTATACCATGTTGGCCTCCCAGATGCAGCTCATCTGTGGATAATTTTCCAACTTGAGCGTTCAGATCCCCAGCCAGTACTACAGTGTCCGAGCTTCTTCTGTGGCGAAGCAGTTCGTTCAGTTGGCGATAGAAGTCGTCTTTTACTGAGTCATCGCTACAGTTTGTCAGTGCATAGGCAGCGATAACGAATAGACACCTGTTAGTCCCACGCGACTTCGAAGTTTTGAACGAGCCAGCCAATCGGACCGCACACATCCGGCTACTGATTGGAATCCAATCAACCAGAGCAGCTTCAGCCCGGGGACTCAGGGCAATACCAACACCGGCTTGGCCGGTGCTCGAAGCTGCATCGTCACCGGATAGGCGCAATGAGAAAGTGCTGCTAGTGTCACCTGAAGGGGATCGCAGAGTGAGTACAGAGCTCGAGTCTTGCAGGCGGGTCTCCGATAAGCAGCAGATATCGATCGAGAGGGTCTCTAATGTTCGGGCAAGTGCTGCCTGTTGACCGATCTGAAGCAATGTGCGAACATTGAGGCATGCCAGTCTGAAGGAGGATCGAGGGCTCCAAATGGAAGCCGATGAACTGGAATGGGCCGCTTGCTTGGACATGGGCCTGTTGACAGTGCAGGAATGACGCTCTGCGTTCACCTGTGAGTTGAAACTAAAAGACAAGCGACTATTGAAGCAAGGTGGGGGAGGGCCGAGAATTGGGGGTTGAAAACAGGGGGATAAAAGTGAAGCTGGAACGGGACGATAAGGGTGAAAAAGCGCAAGAAGGGGAATAAGAAGATGGGAAGGCTTGAGCAGTAGCATCCAAACCCCTATCCACCCTGCTCGATGCAGCAGATAGGGCACCGTTGATTATCCTCTGCGGTGGCCAGAGCATCAGCAATTTGTTTGGGAAAGATTCATTGTATTGCGTGGGCAGGATACTGTCAGGTTGCCCAGGCCTAGACAGGAGAACGATTAGGGTTCTCAACCAAAGCCTTTGGTTCAAAAACCTGACCGCAAGGCAGCGGGTTTGGCACTGGACTACAAGGAGTCCGTTTTAAGGAATAAGGAGCCACCCTCATTCCAACCCCCAACCTGGAGGACCAGGAGGCTGAGTTTGTCTGGCCTCTAACCATTGACCAATCTGGTATGAGTGGCTCTGAAGGTGCAAAAGCACCACCCAGTATAGCTCAATGGATCACTGAGGCACACAAACCATCGCACCACGGTAAGGTCCAGCCTCATTGCGAAAATTGAGTATTTAATGACCATTTAATTATAGTTGGGATCAGCACAGTGGCGATTGATTCCGTGTGTTTCAAAATGAATTTGCGCAAAATATGAGGATTGCTGTGGCATCCAGTGAGGATCTTCCAGGTTCAAGAAATTCCTTCAAGCTAATTTTACAGCTGAGCTGTTGTAAAGCAACTTCATCTTAATTGCACTGTGGGGAAGTAGACAGGCTGTCGTCCATTCGCAAAGTAATCGACGATGCCGTCTACTGTATAGTCCGAAGTATTTCAACTTCCGTTCGGATGAACGGTTAAGCTTCCCAATGGCGCACCCGGAACCCTGATCTTCATTTTTCTCCAGAGCACAGTGATCGCATTTCAGCAATCGCCGCCAGGATCAAAGTTCGTATTCGATTTGTGAATGAACTGAATACAGGGTATTGCATCGCAAGAGCCGGTTGAATTTTAAATATATGACATGCCGTATGGATAGTAAAATCATCGTAACTTAGACATAACATTTGGTGATAATCTAATCATCCATCATGAACGTAAATAACATTTAACACGTCTGATATCACAAATGTACCACGTTGGTTTAAATGTGAAGCAGTTGTCTGTATCAAATGGTGGAGAAACGCAAACCTAACGGGGTTTTTATCTTCTGTACACCTTTGGTAACCTTGTCATTTCCATGGCAGTCTATTAGCAATATTTACCACCTTTCCTTCCAGGCATAATGGGTGTTGATATCGCTTATATTCAGTATTATAAGCAAGTAATTCTGTCTGGTTGTAATGAACAGTGTTCGCAAGTAGACCAGCAGACATTAGGAGGCAATTTCACTAAA